TGCTTTGATCGCTCGCGTGTTATGCATGGGTCCCCGCCTTTGCGCGTGGTGCCGGGCTCCCCCCCTTTGCCCTGAACGACTTTGAGGTTGGGGAAAGGGTTGCGGCGTTGTAGCTTGGATGATGGCGGTGTCTTGGGGTTTCCCGCGGCTGCAACCCTGCCTAGTACCCGTGTGTCTGCCAGATCCTTGCTCTCGGTGACTGGCCACCTGACCTACACCTGATGGTCTGTAACAAACGCAAACAAAGCATCCCGCACCCTGTGCTCTTCCTGCCAGTTGTTTGGGCTTGTCGGCTGTCCACCCTCCACGCCGCATCGTCTTTGTGAAGAAACGATTCGTGTGAGGGCGGGTGGTTGCGTTTTTTTTGAAGACAGTCGGTTACACCGGGGTAGCGAGGTGCCGAGCACCTGCGTGCAACCTAGAAAATTAGCAGGTGAGCTGTGGCCATGTGCGAGGGAGCCCAACGCGCAACATGCGCGAGGGGCGTGAGCAGGGCCGATATGGCACCGGGGGGAAACCCTCCAAACCCCCACGGTTAAGCCACAAGACCGGCCCGTTCCCGTCAGCACCACGATAGCTTGAGGGCCGTGGGCGTCAGGTAGCTGCGGTTTCTCGGGGTTTCCCGCGTCCGCAGCTCTGCGTGCCTGGAGCCCGTGTGTCTGCCGTATCCGTGCACTTTGTGACTGGTCACGTGATCTGCCCCTGATTTTGTGTGCCAAGGCATGAGGTCGCACCACGTGACGCACGACGCCGCATTCGTCCAGCAGCCGCAACCGCCATGTCGCCCCCGACCCCCCTACTGCTGTCATCGCCACTGAAATTCTCTTGAGATGTTTTGCAGGAGAGTGGGAGTATGAGGAGAGCGAGAGTCTCAGGGGCGTGCCACCAGTCTATCAAACTCCCTGTGAAACATGATGGAGTCTATTGACCCTGGAACTCCGCGGCAGAGTCGACTCGAATATCAGAACCCCACTGCAACCACATATGTGTGTCAATGGAGAGAATGAGACTCTTGCTTGATAGGATTTCGTGGTCGGCGGTGTGTCACTCAGCGGTACTCACTAGAGCCCACCTAGGTTGATATTCTTAGGTGATCTGATATATCAAATCAACGCGTACAACCTGGATTAGAAACTTTCTGAGAAGCAAGCAAACGTGGGCCACACGCTCATTGAGTCACCGACCCTGCCACTCGTCGATCTAGATTTCACGCTGCGAACGATCGAAGACCGCCTAAAAAATGCAAGTTGTGTCTCATCCAATGACATGCGTCGCAACCGCCAGCTCGCGCCACCGCGCGCGCATGGCGGCATCGGCGCCGCGCGCCACACGACCGCGCGAGGCGTCACAAGCAGCGCGCCGCAGGGGGGACGCGGCGGTCGCGCGCGCTGGATGGGATGTGGCACGTTTCGCCAAGACAGTCTTCTTTTTCAATGACCCCTCAAAGCTGATCGGGGGCCTCTTCTCCGGCCTCCGCCCCACATCAGAGGCTGGCGCCGAGGTGCGCCACTGCGCCGACTGCGGTTGCGCAGCGGCTCATGGCGGCAGCTGCGACGCGCCGACGGCCCCTGTTGCTGGGCACTGTGCAGCGCTTTGGTGTGCGAGTCTTGCGGTTGAGTCTGCGTCCCCCCACATCCTGTTGACGGTCCGGCGGTTCAGCCACTGTCGCGCGGGCAGCACGCTGTGGTTCCTGAGCGCTGCTGCAGCCTCCAACCTCGCACCTGCCTCCAGCCTCATGCCAGCGCAACCCCGTTTCCAACCCCCTGGGCACCTCCACAGGGCGCCGTGCAAACACTGCTGCGCGGCGCGCCGGCGCCCGTGGGCGCCGCAGAGGCTGAGGCGGGGGTCGTCTTGGTGACAGGTGAGGGTGGAGGGCGGAGACTTGCCGCCGAATGCAGCTGGTTTCTCATCGCAGCTGCGTCGTGCGAGAGCCGCGCGCCTGCGCGGTCGGGATGCGGTCAAGCAAGGAGAGAGCGGGCCGAAGCAGTCACGCTTTGCTGCACCGTGGCGCGCTTGCGCACACCCGCAAACTGGCCGCACATCCTGCAGCTGCGGAGCCTTCCTGCTGCACATCTGGACCCCCACACACACACACTCACGCCGCGGCGCTGCCGCGCGTCGGACGCTCGCCTCAGGCGCGACCGGCGGCGTGGGCAAGCGCGTCGTGCAGCTGCTGCTGGAGAGGGGGCGACGCGTCCGGGTGCTAGTGCGCGATGTGGACAAGGCCAAAGCGCTCCTGGTGAGAGCCTCGTCTGATAAAGAGTGGGCCGATTTGCTCATGCCTTGGGTTGAGGCGGACAGCGGTCGAGGGAAGCATTGTACAGGCGGCCCTGCGTCGTCAGTTTTGAGGGCGGTGCTTCGGCTGGTGGTCTACCGACTGCTGCGCATGCCAGGGCGGCCAAGGGGGTGGTAGGCACCTGCTTGGCACCTCTGCAGCTGCAGCGGCCTGCCAGGCCGCCTGGCGCGGCGTGGCACACCTGCATTTACGGGTGCATGCTCACATTCATCCTGCGGGGCCCTGGCTTGACTACCACACAATGACATTGGGGCGTCTTTGCGTCCGCTGCACAGGGTTCCTTGAAGGCTGCCCCGGGGGCTGTCTTGGAGCTGGCGGCCGCTGACATCACCCAGCGTCAGACGCTGCTGCCCGCGTTTTTCAACGGGGTGAGGGCGCCAACCTGCAGGCCGCGCAAGAAGCTGCGCTGCACTGCCTGCGCATTGGCAGATGTCCACCGCCCGCATTTCAGACGGTGCTCGGCTTGGATGGGGGCACGTTTTGTGCTGGCACAGGCTACTTCTGCTGCGGCTGCCATGGCCGCCACCGCTGCTGCTGCTGCTGCTGCTGCTGCCCCTGCTGCTGCTGCTGGTGCTGCTGCCGCCGCCGCCGCTGCTGCTGCTGCTGCTGCTGCTGCAGCTGCTGCTGCTGCTGCTGCTGCTGCTGCTGCTGCTGCTGAGCTGCTGCTCCTGCTGCTGGTGCACCTGCGGCTGCCACGGCTGCTGCTGCCGCGACTGCTGTTGCTGTTTTGGGTCATCCTGCTACCGCATGCCTGGTATGACATTTGAAAGTTTGAGCTGCATGAGTGCGGCGGAAGCCCTGATTGCTTCAAGCAGGGGCTTTGGCTGCTTCGGTCTGCCAATGCCAGCCCATCACCGTCTCATGGCATGCCTCTCGTCCTCTTCGGTGGGCGGCGTGTGACGCCATTCCTTGTCCTCTGGCGCTCGCAGGTGCGCCAGCTGGTGAGCTGCAGCGCGGTCAAGGTCCAGCCCAAGGAGGGCGACACCGTTGACCGGTCAAAGTACTACCAGGGTGGGTGCCTGGGCGCTGTCTGGGGTGCAAACAGGGCCGCCTGATGGCCCCCGACATTTTTCGTTCAATAGAGGTGTGGTGAAGGTGGATTATGTTTAAAGCACAGCCACTGGCAAAAACTGGCTGATCGATCCAGTTTCGCAAAAGCGTGCGCAGAGTCTTTCTTGGGGCTGCAGGGCTGCTGTGCGTTGGACGGGGGTTGTGTATTTTGCGTCATGCAACGGCGTTGACCGGGGTCAAGCATCACCGGGGAGGTCGGCTGCCACCCCATGCGTTGGATTGTGTGGGGGTCGTTTGAGTGCATAGAGCACCCCCTTACCCCTCGGCCCCAATCGGCTCCCACAGACGCTCCCAACATCCCCGCACACACACGCACACGTGCTTGCGCACGCATACATGCACGTGCACACAGACACACACACACATGCACACACCACACACATGCACACACCACACACATGCGCGCACGCACACACACACACACACACACACACACACACACACACACACACACACACACACACACACACACACACACACACACACACGTGCGCGCGCACGCGCGCATGCACGCACGCACGCATGAATGCGCACACACATAGACACACACTTATTCACTCACACACTACTAGCTCCCCACACTCAAGCGCGCTGCTCTCCGGCCCAACCCCCAAAACAGGCATCAAGTTTTACGATCCCGAGATCGTGGGGGACACCCCTCAGTCCGTTGAGCAGGTGGGCCACATGGCATACAGCCAGGCCCCGCAAGCAGAACACCCACCCGCCAACTGATCTCCAACGGGGATGGGCCGGGGCCCGCAGTCTCGGGACTACCGCGCGACGCGCGATGCACGCGCGGCCGCTCCGACTGCGTCGCTGCAGCGGCCCCCCGCAAGCTCAGCAACACAGGGCCCGCTCTGCAAGCCCCCCTGGCATCGTGCACCCACATTCAAATCTCGATCATTGCAGTTGATTCATGGTTAACGCCACCTTAAAACCCTGTAAAGCCCCCACATACCCGTGGATCCCTTCCCTCCCCCCCCCCCCCCGGGGCAGGTCGGCATCCAGAACGTCCTCGCCGCCGCGAAGCAGCACCTCGGCCTGCTGCCCGGCGAGCCCCTGCTGCTGCCGCGCCCCGACTTTGCCGCGCGCTGGGGGGCGCTGGACGACGTCGTTATGGGCGGCGTCAGCGAGAGCGGGCTGCAGCTGGTGGCGGGGGCGGGCGAGGCCGGGGGCCCCGCGCTCGTGTTCAGGTGGGGTCCCCGGTTGTGATGTTGGAGCTG